TTAAGTGAAGTCTAGGATGTTTTATTTTAATTTGTATTTTAATAATTCAAATGTGAATTTTAAAACCAAAGTAACCCCCTGGGTCATCTCTTCTCCTTACAAAAGGCTGCCAAGAAATTCACCTCCGCTGCCACGAGCTGTGGGATTCTGCGTCCAGGTGAAGGGCGGGGTGGGGAGGCCGGCCCACAGGGACACACTAGATGTGGCAGGAGACAGCAGCCTACGAAGCCCCCACGCTTGACTCCTAACTCCTCTGCAGTGGGATGTAGAGGCCAGAGGGGCCTGGCTTTCCTCCAAATCAGGACGCCTGGAGGGACTTGGAGATCTGCAGGCCAATGCTGTACATCTTTAGACAAGGCAAGAGGCCCAGAGAGGGGAAGCGACTGGTGTGGAGCCACACAGCTGCTTAGTGGCAGAGCTGAGACCAGATCCACTAATGGACTCTACTTTCCTCCAAGCCCCACGTTCCCCCGGGAGCAGGGACTGGGGGTGGCTTGGAGGGCATGGCTGGGGAGGCTATTGTAGATCTGAGGCAGCACAGTCCCCCGCCCCAGGCCACTGCTCAGGGACCTGCCCAGGGTAGGCCCCCTGTCACACCCTCTGCTGCCCTGTCTCTGCCCCCCGCCAGAGGGCAGGTTCAAGTCACCTTTCCCCTTAGTGCCTATGCGCGTACTTACTGCCTGTCTTTCCAATAGAGTGTCAGCTCCATGAGGTCTGGGGCCTTTGTCTTTTCACTTCGTGAACAGCTAAGCGCTGGGCATACAGCTACATTTCATTCAGCAAATACATGAACAGGGGGCCCCTGCTGCCCTCGGAGAGGGGAGTGTTGGCTCAGTGCTGGGCCTGGAAGGATAAGCAGTGAAGTGGCATCCCTGAACTCCATGAGAACAGGGACCATGACTTCCTCATGCTGGTGTCCCTTACCAGCAGGAGACCTGACCCGTGCTAGGAGCAGGGAAAGCAGGGGCAATGGGAGTGTCTTTTGAGAATTTTGATGTCTGGGAGGAAAGAGAGAGGGACGGCAGCTGTTGTGGGCCAAGTGTCTATGTCCCCCTGCAAAATTCAAATGTTGAAGCCCTCACCCCCAATGTGGCCATATTTGGAGACAGGGCCTGTGAGGAGGTGTTACATGAGATCCTACAGGTGGTGTCCTGATCCGACAGGGCTGGTGCCCTTGTAAGAAGAGGCGGAGAACTCCAGAGCTTGCTCCTTCCATTGCATAAGGACACAGTGAAAAGGCGCCATCTGCAAACCAGGAAGAGGGCCCTCCCCTCACTGGCACCTTGACCTTGGACTTCCCAGGCTCCAGAACTCAGTCCCAGCAGACTGAGATAGTCCCTTTGTTCCTGAGAGTAATGGCTTTTTTTTACAGCTAAGAGAGGCCTGAGCATACTGTGGAGTGGAGAAGAAGCTAATATATATAGAGAGACGAGGGGGCAAGGAAGAGATGGAAAAATGGAAGAGGCAAAAGTAAGACCCCAGAAGAGCAAAGGTAGAGCCTTAGAAAGTAGGGAAGATACTGCTGGCAAGAACGAGGGAAAGGCACACACGAGTAACGGGACATGGGGAAGTAGCAGGGACATCTCGCAGCAGAAGGGGGCTCCGAGGGAGTTCAGGAGAGCAGGTCTGCTGGGGAGAGAGGTGGAAGAGGAGCAGGGAAAGGGATGAGTCACCAACAGGGAGGGAGGTGCCGGCCCCTCTATACCCCCACCTCTCTGCTCCTAGGGGTCCGGCCTTTACAAGGCTGCAAAGCCATGTTCTCAGCAACCCCGCCCACCACAAGCCATGCATTTCCTTCCGTTTGGTGGTCAGAAGCAGTGGGAGGCAAAAAGTTGTCTGAACTTGTACTTGTGAGAAGGATGCTGCTGACTGGTAACATCAACCTAAAATGCTGCACAGGAGCTTAGTGAAAATATGGGTTACAGACTCCCCCCGCAGCCACCCCCACCAAGATTCTGGCGAGGGGAAGACAGTAAGTGGCAATGAGAGGCTGGGAGGCCTGGTGTCAGGCAGCGTGGCATCAAGCCCCAGCCTGAGGCCTGGTCACAGCGTGTGCTCCATGTGTCCATCAGAAATAGCAGCAGACAACTGCCTCTGTGATTTCTCTTCCAGTCCAGCTTTAAATGTCATGACTGTACTGATCTGCCCTTAATCAAAACTTTCAAAAGCCTCCAAAACCCCAAAGGGTTAAGTCCAAGGGTGCCAGCATGGTGCTCAAGGCTCTCTGTGATGTGGCCTCATCAGCCCTATCCCCTACTCTGTCCCTATGGCATACCATGGGCAAGCCTGTTCTGGCCTTTGTCCTGAAATATCCCAAACCCCTTATCTAAACCCCACCCACTCTGTAAGGCCCTGCTCCAGAACCACCTTCTCCAGGAAGTCTTCCTAGGCTAACACCCTCTAAGCTAGCCAGAGTCTCCTCTGAACTCAGATTCTTCCATTAAATGAAGCCCTGAGAAGGATTCAGAGGCCAAGCTCAAGAGGTCAGAGAGGTCATGTAAGCAACGGGCACAAACCACCATGCCAGGGAGAATGAGGAAGCAGGAGGTGGGAGCTGGAAAAGATGACAGTTCCAAACTGAAGGGAGATTATAGCAGATGGCAGGGGAGCCAGCAGGAGGGGCCAGGTGTGGGAGTGGCCAGCAGAGGACACTCACGGTGGGAGTCAAGCTCTGGCTGAATCCCACATTGTTCTAATATGGCCTGGCTGGCTGCTGGCCAGGGCTCAGGCTCCCCAGATCAGCTTTCTGATCCTTGGCTGAGGGCTCCTTGAAGTTGGGGGCCACGTACGTACAGCTTGTCCCCACACTGCCAGGGCCTCAAGAGACCAAAGAAACAAGTCTCTGAAAATTCCCTGTTCTCATCCCCCAGTTGTGGTCACCCGCTTTCTGGCTGGCTGGGCCCCACCTAACAACCACAGCCCCTTCGCCTGCTGGAGAGGCAGAAGGAAGAGAGCCCTCCTCTGCCGTCTGCTTCAGGCACATACACCAACTATCAATCTGGCTTTTTGTGCCCGGCCAACATTTTACAGGAAGGACCTTCCACCCTCTGCCGCGTGGCCAAAGCACACGTGGAATATTGAAGGCCTTCTGTTCTCTGCTGTGCCACCCGCTCTCCAGGGCGACTTGGAAGCCTCTGAGCACAGCAGGAGCCCAGGCTGCGACCCCCAAACTGGCTGTGCAGTAGGAAGGCCGTCCTTTGCTAACTTACTAGTTCCAGGTGACCCCATGGCCTTAGCATGGACCTCCAGCAATCCTGTATCACACAGGCCCCCACTTCCAGGGATGAATTCTCCACCTCAGAGAGGGAAAGATTCTGTTCGACTGAGGACGTGGTGTCTGGGATGAAGATACCTATGTATGGAGAGGCTCCTGACTAGGCAGAGAGGCCGAGCGAGGCCAGCACCGGCCCTGCGCTTCTAAGTGGAGACAAATGGCCGTCTTCTAAGCCCTTGGGCAAAATGGGGGGCATTTGACCAACACTTTTTAGTTCCTCACACTCTGCTCTTTAGCTATTTCCCAGTGTCAGTCTCGTCCTGTCCACTCAAGGGCAGCACTGGGCTGCCCTCCCAGTCCTTTCCCACGGAGCTCAGGGTAGGGAGGATCGAATGGTTAGTTGGAGCTCAGGAGATGGAATCCCATGCATTTAAATCTACTGCTTCTTTTCCAAAAAGGATTTGAGGAAGCTTTAAAAACACCGCATAATATAATCCAATAAAAATAGATGAAAATACACCCTGAGGGGAAAGCAAGGAGGGATAAGAAAATGAAGCCAGGGTCAAGGTCGTGCACAGAAATGGTAAGTTTTGCAAAATTGCTAAAGGTGGTTACAAATTCAGCTGAGTTTTCTAGGGGCTGAAAAATAAGGAAGAACTGTGGTCCATAATGAAATTCAAAGTACACAAAAAAATTAAAAAACCAAAGCCCATCGTCTGCTCAGCCATTTCTGGGTACTATAAGATAATTTCCTGAGAATCAATTCCTACAACTGGGATTTCTAAATTAAAGGTTTTATAGATTTTTAAGGCCTCTGATGTATAATGCCAAACTGCTCTCCAGAAAGGTGGTCCTGATTCATGCTCCTACTAGCAGTGTGCTCCCTTCCCTACACTAGGCACTATCGTTTTGCGTGTGTGTGTGTGGGGGGGGGTCACAGGGGAGCGGTGGGGTAAGAGTTCTTTGCAAATGTGACAGATGTAAATGCAGTGTTTTCATCTGTAAATCATGAAAACAAACTACACTGAATGTTTTCCGTATCCATTACTGATGATATGTATTGGGTAAATTGCCTGCCTCTTACCTTGTACATACTTTCTACTCAATCATTTTTTTTTCTCTCTCTCTCTCTTTAAACTGATGCTGGAGAGAGTTCTACTTCCTATGAAGGATATTGATTCTTTGCCATACATGTTGCTAATATTGTTGGTTGCCTTTGTTTAAGCTTTTTGACATTCAAAAGTTTAGCTTTTTTAGGTAGTAGAATCAAATTTTTCCTTTTCATCAGTCAACAAACATTTGTTACAAGCCTATTCTGTGCCTCCCATTGAAACTTCTGAACTTTATTGAGAAAAGAGAGGTTAAGTAATCACAAGGCCACTCAGCAGCAGGGGGTGGGGACCAGAGCTGGGGTGTTGGTATCAGTGAACATGGAAAGAAATAAAACAGCAAACCATGCCGTGGGCAAAGATGCAGGAGGGTCCGGGCCTGGTAGGAGGAGGACAGTTGCTATTCTTGGCCTGCACCTCCAAGACACCCCCAGAGTCACCTGTGAGGTGGGCTTAGCTAAGGCCCAACCATGTCACAGAGAGTCACACTTTGCATGCATTTGTACACACACACACACACACACACACACATGGGCTGGTAGGGGGATAAGAGAGGCCAGAATATGACCAAGGGGCCTTTGTTCTTTTTCTTCTAAAAGGAAAAGCAAAGATGGGACAAGCCCAGGCATGCGGGCTGCCCAGGAGCTGCCGCAGGGAGCCGGGGCTCGCGTGCCTACCTTGGATTCCATACAGCCGGTTGAGGCGTGACCGCCGGGCCTCATCAGTGTAGGGGACAGCGAGCCAGGGCATCTCACTGAAGTACTGTTTGAATGACTCCTCTGACCTGCAGAGATACACACACGGAGAACAAGGCCCTGGTATCCCCGGCCGCACCACCACCGGACCTTTTCTACCTTTCACCGAGCACCCAGGGCTGCTCGAGGAGCTGGGGCTCTCACTGCCGTGCTCTCAGACGCCAGGCAGTGGGAGTGTGTTACTCTACCCATTCTGGTGTCCACCAGGAGCAAATGCCTCCACACAACAGGAGATCCCAAACCAAATGCCAGGCCATTTTAACAGCCCACACGCCCGCATCCTACCAACTGAGCCCATGCCCAACTTTTCATGTGCCAACACAGGCAGGTCTCACTTTTCTAAGGAGCTTAGATGTATACAGCTATGGCATTCCCAGGGAGATTTCTAATTTGTGCAACCAACCTTATACCTATGATTCCACAAGTAAGAAACCGTAGAAAAGACAAATCTACTCAAGCAATAGAAAGTAGATCATGAGTGTCCTGAGGCTGGAGTTTGGGGGTAGGTACTGACCAAGATGGGGCACAAAGGAACCTTATGAGTGATGGAAATGTTCTGTATCTTGACTATGATGATGACTACCTGGGTACATGTATCAGTCAAAACTCACTGAACTGTATACCTGACATGGATGCATCTTATTGTACATAAATTATGGTTCAATAAAGTTGATGTTGTTTAAATCCTTATAAAAGTGATCGTGCCACCTGGCATGTCTTCCCGCTGATACAGGGAGCTTCCAGTGGAGCAGGACTATGGACCCATAAACCTAGTACAGGACACTGTGGATGTCAAAGACACAACAATGTACAAAATGCCCTCATTGTGCCAGTCCTTCAGAGACCCTTAAGAGGTAGAAGTGCCTGGTGATTCAGCCTAAACTGGGTTGGATGGAGTTTTGAGATGAAGGAAGCTCACTGATGAGTGAAGCCAGAGAGAGAGGGCAAGAAACAGAGGGAACGGAGGCTAAGAGGACCTGACTTAGTCCTGGAAGAATGTCTGCCTGGCTTGTTCTGTGATTCTTCATCCTTATGCATTCAAATAGCCCCAAGGTCTGTGGCCAGAGCTAACAGAAAGATTGCCTAGCCATCCAAGACAGGGGTCACATGGCTTTCATCTGTGGCCCTTTCCCATCCTCCTCCCTCCACATCTTCTCACCACAAACTAAAGTGATGAACCAATCAGAAAACACACCCTAAGCCCAAATGACCCAGGCCTGAATTACAACATACCCAGTATTTATAGCAGGAAGAGGTTTCTCTCGGCTCCCCTTCAGACAATTAAATGAGTAAATGTGAAATGTATCTGTCCTTCTGCCAATACTCCCAGATATGTTTTCCTCCATCCCTATTTCCCAGCCCTACAATGAGGAAGTAAGAAATGCAAGACGAAAGAGATGGATGTCAGCCACCTACCGAAACAGGGAGCCGCCCTGTCACTTCACCACACGCCTTACCTGTCTGCACTAACAAAGATGATCTCAAAGTTCTGGCCTGCCTCCTTGATCTTCCGGTAGGATTCCACCAGGACCCGGGTGAGGCTTCGGCAGGGTGGACACTGGAAGGCAAGAACGGGCCCCTGCTGCGTGACGTGCCTTCTCCATTCCCTGGCTGCTCACCATTAGAGCCCAGGCAAGCTAGACCCACGTAGGACTGGGATGGCAAAGCCCAGTTTATAAAAGAGGCGGACACGAACTTGCCTCTCTGAATGGTGAGCATCCAGCAAAGCCGCCTTCTCACCCTACGCAGCGTGCCAGCAGGCAGCCATTAAACAAACTCCCGTAGGGACCATTAGAAGTGTCACCGGAATGGAATATCCTTATAGACCCATCAAGGGAAGATATCCCCCCCCCCCCGTTTTTTTTTCAAGACAGAGTCTCACTCTGTTGCCTGGGCTAGAGTGCCATGGTATCAGCCTAGCTTACAGCAACCTCAAACTCCTGGGCTCAAGCGATCCTCCTGCCTCAGCCTCCCGAGTAGCTGGGACTACAGGCATGCACCACCATGCCCGGCTAATTTTCTTCTATATATTTTTAGTTGTCCAGCTAATTTCTTTCTATTTTTAGTAGAGACAGGGTCTCACTCTTGCTCAGGCTGGTTTTGAGCTCCTGGCCTTGAGTGATCCTCCCGCCTTGGCCTCCCAGAGTGCTAGGATTACAGGTGTGAGCCACCGCACCTGGCCAGGAAGATATATTCTTGATGCTATTATCATTATAAATATAAGCACTATTACATGCCAATATTGCATCAGGCACAGGAGAAGGCCAGAAGGCCAGGAAATTCCTGCCTGGGCAGTCTCGCCTCCAGAAGCCAACCACAACTTGGCTTGGTGGTGACATCACTGCTTCCTTCTGTCTAGACTAAAGAGGGACCAAACACTCACCCAATGTGCAGAGAAATAGACTCCCACGTGAGACCCCTCCAGGCTGCTGCTCTCCAGGGACTGCCCGTTATTTCTAAGCAAGGGCCCTGCAATGACTTCCCTGAAGGGTTTAGGTCCCCAAGGGAATTCCAGACCTGAAACAGGCAACAGATGGTGAGAATGGTAAGGCTCTTCATCAAGGCCTGGGACCCAGGAGGCCTCAGAGCTGTAGGCATGACAACTTTATCATCAAATGGTGTTTGTTAACAAATCTATAGGATCCATAGCTAACATAGCCACCGTAGAGCCCTCCTTACCCTCAAGGCAGTGGTTCCTAAACCTGAATAATCATAAGGTTCATCACCTGGGGCTTTGGAAAAATACTGATGCCCAGGTAGTACCCCAAATCTCGAGATCCAGGGACAGAGCGAAGAGGTATGTTCAAAACAAAACAGACTTCGCAGGTAACTCTGGTGATGGTCAAGGTTTGAGAATCGTTGTCTCAGGAATTAACCCTGTGTTCATTTGGTCCCAACCCCAGAACTTCAGTGGTTCTCAATTGCATTTTAGAATCAATTGGGGAATTTTAAAACATGATACTCCTGGGCCCCACCCCCAGAGATTCTGAGTCAATTGGTCTGGATTAGGGCTCTGGGAATCAAATGAAAATTCAAGTCTAATAAAAAGAAAGCGCAAAACCCACCCCCATCCAGATGGTCAACATTCTGATGACACATAAGCACCAGGCAGGAAGAGGAAGTGATATTCTCCCAGCCCAACTGAACAGTGTTTTCTCACAGGGTGGTCTACTGACCACTGCCTCAAAATCGCCTGGGGGGGGGGTGGGAGGGAGAAGCAGACTAGTTAAAAATGCAGGGGGCCAAGCCCACCCTGCAACAAAAGAATCGAAATTCCCTGGGAGTGGGGCCAGGGAACCTGCGTTAACAGTCTTCAAGGGTGTGTGCATGTGCGTGTGCGTGTTTAAATTTGAGAAGGTACACATTTGGTTCCATCACGCCCTGGTTCTTACTGAGGGCAATTCTTTGGAGCAGGTGAAATTTTTACTGGGAAAATTTGTAAGCAGGGTTGAATCTTCTCATTGGATCAATAAATGAGGGAGGGGAGAGTGTATGACCTTTTATCACTCTAGTGCAAGGGGGAAAGAAGCCGTCCTTGGACAGCCACTGAGCAGTGATGCGAACAGCCTACCTGGTGCACGGCCAGACAGCCAGCAAGGCCAAGGCCAAGGCCTGCAGGGCTCAGGCAGCACCAAGAAATGAGGTGCACTCACCACCTGGGCCAGGAGAGCAACACAGAGACTGCAACTTTGCTGTGGTAGTATTTTGAAAAGCAAACACCCCACTTAGGCTGCCTGTAATTGTTAAGAGGGCAGCTGCCGTTGAAACAGCACTAGGAGCCAATGTCTGGGCTCTAGCTGCCTTTCCACAGCCTCCTCGGCCCTCCAAGCTGAACTGCCTTTTTCAGATTCCACCTCCTCTGGCCCATAAATTAAAACCCCCAGGAGGGACATTCTGATCCCTTTAAAAATCTTAACCATGATCTAGAGAATACTGTAATTTCACCAAGACAATGTTCTCTGGCCACATAAACCCACTCTTATGCATTTCATTAGTACTCTCTCCAGCAGTGGGGAGGAGATTAGGGAAGGGGGACAGAGGAGCTAGCTGGGTGATAAGAGTGCAGGATGGACACGCCAGGGTGTTACCTTCTGGGTCGTCTCTGATCACCAGCAGCCCATTCCTGCACACGACCTTCCCGGTGGTGGCGTCTAGGAATATTAGTGATGGAATGTTGGAAATTCGGTACTTGTTCCAAAGTTTAAGCTGTAAAAAGTAAAAGAAGGTGGTTAAGTCCACACCAAATTAACTGCAGGGTTCTTCTGAGCCCCTCAGGCCTGGGGGGTGGGTAGATGGAGGAGCAAGCACTGAAGTACAGATAAATGAATAACTGATCCAAAGTAGGGCAGCTGTGCAGGAGGGGCAAATTAACTAACTATAGCCACACTGGCTCCCGTGGTGACATTACACAGGACCCCACATCCCACCTAGGCTTGGGCTGTAACAGCAGCTGGTGGAGAACCACATTTATTCTAGGACAGTGCTTCTCTCTCCCACAGGCGCTTCCTCCAAGGAGCATGAAGATGAAGATGAATTATGCATCTTTAGAACACCATCAGATCTCCGCCAGGTGGTTAAGGACGGAAGGGAAGCTTTTCATTAGAGCCTCTCCGCCCTATCAGGAGGAAGCAACCGGTTTCCAACTGAAGACCACATAGTTAAAATCTGCACCCTCGAAGCTTCACCAGGGCCCTGCACTTGGAATATCACAGCTGTCATTTTATGTGCCATTCAACATGCCAAACACTAGGGAAGCAGTCTCTTGAGCCAGCCCTAACCCTCAGCTCTCGGTGCCACTTAAAATAATCTTCGGTCTATTGGGAGATTCTTGAGGTTGGCCATGCAAAGTGTCAGAGGTCTGGGGTCTGAGAGGGCTGAAGCGGAGACAACGAGAATGCAACAGCCCAGGGTGAGAAGCCAAGCACACTCAGGCCCCTCTGTGTGCTCTGTCTACTGCCACCAGGGTAGACACTGCTGAGGTGGGCCACTGGGTGCTCTTGAACTTCACCGCCAAGCCCCAAAAGCAACAGAATTAAACGAAGTGTCAAGCTAGCAACACAGCTCCAGAAAAGAAACTGCGGAAGGGTCCACTGGTTAGGCCATTCAGCTGTGAGCCTCCGTTCTGGGGGTTCTGGGGACCCAGGCAATAGGGCTGGCCACTTGGGCCCCAGTAGAATAGGGCAGAGGTCCCCAACCTTTTTGGCACCAGGAACTGATTTCATGGAAAACAATTTTTCCATGGGGAAGGGGCGTTGGGGGTGGGTGGCAGAGCTCTGCGGCCTGGTCCCTAACAGGCTACAGACTGGACCCGGTTGGTGACCCGGGGGTTGGGGACCATAGGAATAGGGCATGCAGAAGAGGGAGAGGCATGTGTGGCTATGATTATTATTGTTTTTAATCCAATCCCAAGCAGTGAGGGAGGAGGGCAGCGTGTTGGCCAAGAAAGCTAGGTTTCCCTGTCTGTGGAAACCTGTGTCTTGGCAGAAAGGCTTGTGGGACCCCACCTCAAACTGGGTGGGCCCTGCCTCAGTGCTGCATGCGTTTCCCAGCCCCACATCTCCAGTGGGTTCACAAAATCCGCCCGGGGCCTCAGAACAAGAGGGATTCTGCACATACAGTTTTTAATAACCAGTACTTCACCATCACACGAAAACTTGATACAGAATTCAGATCAAACGTTCCTAAGACAAGAGGTTCAACAACAGAACAAGACCATCCTACCACTGGGGTCTGCTGAGCAAGGATGCAGCCAGGTTAATTTTAAAAAGAAGAAGAAGATTAAAATTATTGGATTTTTCTGGCATACAAAATAATTCTGGGGGGAAAAATCATTGGAAAAAAATTGGGAAATAGAGCAAACCACCAAAATTGAGATAAAAATCACCCATGACTCACCACTTACGAAAACATAGACATTTTTATATTTCCACCAGTGGCAAATGAGACAGCCCATTTCCTAGCACCCCCACCAACATTATCACTGACATTAATTTTTCCAATTTGCTGGGGAAAAAAGGATACCTCTCTTTTATCTTCTACTTATTGATGTTTAAGAGATACACTGCTGTAAATACACTGTTTCTCCTCATTGTGTTTTACAACTGGTAAGTACCGAAATTCATTCAACAGATATTAACTGAGCACCTACTATGTGCCAGCCTTGTTTTAAGCACAACAGATATAGGAAAGAACAAGGCAGAGGAGGTTGCTGCCCTCGTGGAGCATCTATTCTAGTGGGAGAGACAGACAATAAACAAGAATATAAATAGAAAAATAATTTCAGACATATAAGGAATAGAAAACACAGCAGGGTTAAGAGTAAAGGCATGGTTGGGAAGGTGGTGCACATTCTAGAGATCCAGAGCGATCCAGGAGAATGTCTCTGGAGAAATGACATTTGAGCACAGACCTCAATAACGAAAGGGAACAAGCCACATGCATATTAGGGGAGGCCACCTGAGGCCCAGGGGACCTGCATAGAGGCCAGGAACTGACTGCGATGGCTGGAGTGGATGGAGCCAGAGAGGGCCAGGGAGGTCAGAGGGCATTCGTGGACCAAGCTCTTTAAGGCCCTGTAGACCAGAGTAAAAACAATGGAGTTTTATTTTAAGTGTAATAGGAAGCTACCAAGGGTTACAGGAGGAGTGAGATGACCTGCCTTACAGTTGAAATGGCCACTTTGGCTGCTGTGAAGGAACAGACTGCAGGGAGGACAAGGGGAAGGCAGGAGGCCAGCGGGAGAGGCTACTGCAAACAGCCCAGGCTGGAGCCGAGTGTGGCGAGCAGGACTGGTCTGCAGCAGAGTAAGGACATGGTTGATTCTGAAGACAGAGTCGGTGGGTGAGACTGGCAGATTGAACGTGGGGAGTGGTGGGGAGAAAGATCAAGGATGGACCTGGTTCTGGGGCTTGAGCAAGTGTGTCAAGGGGGCGCCCCATTAACCAAGATGAGAAGCAGTGGAGGAGAAGTTTGTGAGGGAAAAGTTCAGAGGCCAATCTCGGGGTATCTACCAGACCTGCAAGTGGAGATGTCAAGTCGGCCCTTGGATTTGCGCATCTAGGCTCCGGGGAGAGGGGGCTTGAGATGTAAACCAGTGGTCATCAGTGACTAGAAGATGTCAGAGGTCATGGGCCTGGAGGAGATCATCCAAGGAGAGGACAAGGCTACAGAAGCGGTCCCTGGACACAGCCAGGGACCACAAATGCAGAGGCCGAGCAGGAAGCCGAGTGACGGAAGAGGGGGATGAAGATACTCCAGCATCACTTTAGCGTCCCAAAGGCCAGGTAAAGAAAGTGCCTTGGAATGGAGGGTGACTGTGTCAGATGCTGCCGAGAGGCTGAGGAAGATGAGGACAGAGAACTGACCAGCAGATGTGGCACAGAAGGTCGCGCATGACCTTGATGGGGTAAGGGCGTCAGGGAAGTGCTGAGGCTGAGAGACAGAGACTCTCCCAGTGTAGGGGAGACAGCAGCGGGCACTGCCTGCCCCACACATGCCCACATGCCTGCGACCCTGACCAATCCCAGTCCTCCTGCCAACACAGGACATACCAAGAGGATAAAAAAAAGAAGAAAGGTTATACAGAGAGAGAGAGAGAGAGAAAATGACAGATGAGAGGCTGAGGTAAGAACTGTAAACAATTCTCTCTCAGTTTTGCTGCAAAGGGAGCAGAGACAGGGAGTTGCAGCTGGAAAAACATGTGATGTGATCAGGAGGAGGATATTTTAACGACACTCTAACAAACGCTGATTGCGACAATCCAAGAGGGAAAAAAAAAACTGATGAGAGGGAAAATTGCAAGAACAAAGTCCTTGAATAGGCAAAAGGGTGAGATGTAGTTTACAAATGGAAAGGTGGAGCTGTAAAAACGGCTGACTTTTAAATATAGTTGTCCCCTGGTATCTGTGGGTGACTGGTTCCAGGACCCCCACAAACGTTTAAGTCCCTGATAAAATGACAGTGGTATTTACATGCAACCTATGCGCATTCTGCTATATACTTTAAATCATCTCTAGACTACTTGTAATAACTACTACAATGTATTAGTTATCTCTCTCTCTATATAAATATATAGTTGTTTACAGAATGCTTAGGGAATAATGACAAGAAAAAAGCCTGTACCTGTTCAGTACAGATGCAATTTTTCCACCAAATATTTTTGTTATGCAGTTGGTTGGATCCACAGATATGGAACCCATGGATATGGAAGGTTGACTGTATATATTCTTCTTTCTTTTTTTTTTTTTTTTAAGCCAGTCAAATTTAGCACAAGGAGGTTGACTATTCTTATTTCAAAGTAGTTTTTTAGTCCGAAGAGAAAGCCATGCTGTTTGCAAGTAAAGACAACTCTACCTTCTTTTTGCAACAGTCATACCATTTACAGTTGACCCTTTAACAACGTGGAGTCAGGGTGCCGACCCCCTGTGCAATCAAAAACCCGTGTATAACTTTTGACTCCCTCAAAACATAACTAATGTTGACCAGAAGTCTTACCGCTAATGTAAACAATTAACATGTACAATGTTTCCCCGAAAATGTGACCTACCCATAAAATAAGCCCTAGCAAGATTTCTAAGCATTTGCGCAATATAAGCCCTACCCCGAAAATAAGACCTAGTGACGGGCGTGGCTACGCAGTGTATCTGCACAACCCATGCATTTCGTCATGGAGTGTTAAAGACCAGCAGCCCTTCTCATCTGCCCCATCGAGACAGCTGCTATCCCAGAGGTGACCGGAAAGGTACAGGCAGCCCCACCAACAAGGTCGGCTCCGCCATCAGGTCCCGGCCATCCTGTGCGTGCTGCAAGCTGAGGCTTTGAGGGGAAGATAACATCCCCTGAAAATAAGCCCTAGGGTATCTTCTTGAGGAAAATTAAATATAAGACCCTGTCTTATTTTTGGGGAAACACAGTATTTTGTATGTTATATGTATTATGTACTGTATTCTTTTTTGTTTTTTGGTTTTTTTTTTTTGAGAAAGAATTTCACTCTGTCACCCCAGGTAGAGTGCATCATAGCTCACTGTAACCTCAAACCCCTGAGCTCAGGCGATCCTCCTGCCTCAGCCTCCCAAGTAGCCACCATGCTCAGCTAATTTTTCTATTTTTTGTAGAGACAGGGGTCTTGCTCTTGCTCAGACTAGTCTCAAACTCCTGCCTCAAGCTATCTTCCTGCCTTAACCTTGCACAGAGTTCTAGAATTACAG